GGGAGGTATATTTTTTAATTGTACCAGTCTGGGACCCCTTAAGCCCACTTCTTTTTACATTTTTGTTTTTCATTTTCTCTGTAGCTTTTATTCTTTGTTCCTCTGTTAAAAATTCATGGGTTTGGAGGGGAGAGAATCAAAGTTCTTATATATATACAAGTCTCTGCACTATCCCCCGGCTGGTCTTTTTGGGCTGTTCTTTCCACAGATCTTTTCCACCTTTTTTTGCAGTCACCGGGGGTCCCCCCTTTCTCTTACCCCCCGCTCCCCTTTAGGGGACCATGTAATACATCACAATTAGTGTATAGTAGGTTTAAGATTTAGTCACTCACCCTCCTCGTATGTTTCTTCCCGTGACCACGCTGAATGTTCTCACCTTCAGGTCGCCTAGGGTCTTTGTTCACGGAAAAAGGGGGGGGGGGGGACCCTCCAGGGTCACTTTGATTCTTCCGTTAACCAGGGCTCAGTGGGTTTCCTCTTGCCTTGCTTTATGCCCTGGGGGTCTCAGGGGAGTAGGGGGAGAATGAACCGGTCTCCATCCAACCGGTCAGCTCTGCTCTCCCACCGCAGAACGCCGGCCGGCCGGCTTCCCGATCTCCCAGGAGTGCTTTGCGGCTGGTCACGTGACCGCGCCGGCTTCCCAGCATCCAAGCGCCCTCTCGCCGCTAGTCTCCAGCCGCTCTCCACTCTCCTCCCGCCAACCTCCACCTCTCGTCCCGGGGAGCCGCCAGGCCAGGGTAAGACCCACGCCACAAGGCTTTTTACATATCTCGGGAGGTACACAGGGGACCTGGGGAGGTCAGACTACGGAGCTCCGTCCGAGAGCTCCTACATTGAGCTCTCCTCTGCCGCCATGCTCAGGCTCCGCCCTCGCCTTAGGAGTTTGTTTACAGTTGTCTAGCGTTTTTACATTTGAGCTTGAGCTACTGAGATTAGCTAACAGACTTTTTAACAGAAGAAACATGAAGATGTGAAAAGGGATGCTAACGCTCCATCTGCTGGCTGAATACAGGAATACATAATATTCATATGTAATATTTTCTAATTACCTGATTAGTAATGTGTTTTTATTTCCTTTAAAGTGTTACTAAACCCATGACCCTGCATTCACTATATCTGGTCTCCCACAGAACATGGAAATGCAATTATTTTAGTAAATATAAACTTCTTAATACCTTTTCTCATCAGCAGTTAGAGCAGACTTGTGACTTCTATCAGTGCTTAGCAGGGCACTGGCTAAAGCTTGTAGGAGGAGTTTTCTCTAGGAGGCTGCAGAACCCCTGATCTCCGTCTGGGGCAGTGCTGATCGGCACTGTGCTGATCATACGCACTGTCCCAAGAAAAAAAAAACCTCTCTAGCAATACACACCAAATTGAGTATGTGCAGAGTGTCTCCACACGATATGTTTTATCAGGAGATAAGAGGGGAACACTGAAAGAAGGGGAAGATCAGAGAAGACCGGATCAAGCAGCCTTTTTACACAATGCAGAGGATTAACCCCTTAGGTTCCACAGTGAGCATAACAAGCATGCTTTTCTGCATATACAAACTGATTTTACTGTTGTGGGTTTAGTAACACTTTCACATGGTAATGTAAGAAAATATGTACAAAAGCTTTATACATTCCCTTTAAGCTGAGCCCAGTGACATCAGTGAAATTACAACATATAACAGCTCTTGTTAATCTTTTTATAGAAGCACCTCCCCAGATCACACCCGCCCAATGCAAAGTGTTTTCTGGTGCAATATGCTAATGGGACAGATAATGCAATCGGTTCCATAAAGATGGACGAGCACTCTTCTTGGCCGAGTATCCTGAGCACGCCTGAGTATCAGCGTTTGCTAGTTAATCATTATTAGTGTGTGCAGCTCTGCCCCGTCTCACCACTGTGTAGAACACTGCATACCTTTCCCTGCTATAGCTGGTAGCTGCTGTGTGCAAGATTTCCGTCTACCTAGTCTATTGCATTTGCGCCTTTTCTTATGAGTGCAGACAGGTACTTGGCAATCCAGTTCAGAGAATCGATAAACACAGAGCAGTCTTTAACATATCGGGATTAGGAACTGAACTAAAACAGAGAAGAGTCTTAACGCGGGTGAAGTCTTGGCTCGCCTTCCTCTGTGCCGGCCGTTACACTTACAACCCAGTCTAGCCGGTTTTTTGTTACATTGTGTTTTGGCCCGGTCGACAACAGTAAACGCCATTTGTAAGTATTTGTAATACAGACAACAGAAGACACTGTGCTGAGTTATCAGGTACATTTTAAAGGAAATTTGAAATTGTTTTTGGAGTTTTTAAACTTTTTTTATGTACAGTTTAAGGCAGATTGAAGCTTGGATTTGGATAGCGCGGGGGAGGATTTGAACCCATCATTTAAGTCAGCCATAGACAGATTGAAATTCGTCCGGTTCAGCAGGAGCTAGTTGAATTTTGATCCTTCTATGGGCTGGCTGGTTGTACTGAAGTCGTTCTAACCACCCCATCAGGTTTTTTTTCATATGATCACTGCTGACGGCTACAGCTAGCAGCAGTAGTCATTGTATTCTGATGGTTGAGAAACCTTCCGCTGTCAGAATATAGTAGCACAGCAGGAGAGCTTTATCCCATCAACATTGACTGTGTTGATGGAGGAATCAAGGAATTTTCTTTCCTTCAGCTCATGGTTATAGGAAATAAAAATTACATAATGTATGGCCAGCCTTAGTGTCCCGGTGATGGCTGCTATCCCAAACAGAAAAAATTTGCAATAGGGGCTGTAACGGAACCGGACCCCGACTGCACTAGGGTATTTCCATTAAACTCCCATTTTCCTGTCCGAACACAGATCCATGGACACCACTCGAAGTAAAATCAGGAAATAGACTACTTTATTTTAACACAGACACAAGATATAAACATTCAAGGGAACAACCCACCTCCCTGCATATGAACACAGGGCGGTGCAAACCAAATCTAGCAACCAGAGACACATCAGCAGACACCCCCCACCAAGTCAATACACAAACGCATACATCCCATAATAGTTTGCTCCCAAGCAAGACACACAATAGAACAATGGGATGCACCACATGGCAGTAAACAAGGGGCAAAGATAAAAAATAAAACGCCAACAGGGTTTCTAGTCTTCCCTTCTATTCAAAAAAGACTTTAGATATACAGTGTAATGTGGTTATAGAATTTATTTTTGCATGGAGTGGAGAAGTAGTAACACTCTATTGGGCTTCTAGAGACTTCCCCACAGTTGCTGTCCTGGTAACCATTTTACCAGAGACAGGAAGTAAGGGGAAATTTGCTAAATCTCCTAACTGAACAAAAAAAAATATTTCTGTCGGAGATTTTCTCTTACTTCCTGTATGGTGAAACCATTGTCACTGTGACAGTAAGGGGAAATCTTTATAAAGTTATAGCTGTAAAATCCTGCTGGGTGTTATAATCCTTCCCCACTCTATCCAAAATAGTGAAGGAAAGTTGACTAAGTGCACCTGGGGAAGGGGTATTACAGTAAACCAGGTTCCTTGTCATGCATGGACAAAGCAGTTCTTTGCTTTAAAGTCAGATCTCAGGTGCAATGACAGGCTCCTGCAGACTCCATGTACACTGTCTGCCCATACCTCCTGGGATAACTGAATTGCAGGAAGAATCAATGAACTACAAGAGTTCTCACCAGCACCCTAGCAGTCAGAACTACAAGTCACCAGCCACGGTTGCTGACAATACTTGTAATTCATTCACAGAACTCTGTAAATGAATGATGTGGCCATATGGGCTAAGCTCCGCTGGCCACGCTGTTTTTAAATTGTGACAGCGGGTTCAAGGAGAAGATCGGGTGGAACATGTAACATCTAGCAACCAGAGACACATCAGCAGACACCCCCCCACCAAGCCAATACACAAACACATACATCCCATAATAGTTTGCTCCCAAGCAAGACACACAGTAGAACAATGGGATGCACCACCTGGCAGTAAACAAGGGGCGAAGATAAAAAATAAATTGCCAACAGCGTTTCTAGTCTTCCCTTCTATTCAAAAAAGACTTTAGATATACAGTGTAATGTGGTTATGGAATTTATATTTGCATGGAGTGGAGAAGTAGTAACACTCTTTTGGGCTTCTACAGAGACTTCCCCACAGTTGCTGTCCTGGTAACCATTTTACCAGAGACAGGAAGTAAGGGGAAATTTGCTAAATCTCCTAACTGAACGAAACTACATGTTCCAAAGGTGAGCTTAGCCTATAATGATTGAGTTGAAGCTCTGATGACTTCGGGCATCCAATCAAAAATGTTTTGTTTTTTTGTGTGTTTTTTTTTTTGTTTTTGTTTTTTTAATTTCTTTGCACGATTGGGTACTTTTTTGCAAAATGACATTTCACCACATTCACTAACCCTCTGAGGAAAATTCCCTTGAAAACTGCAATTTCCCTTGTTAAAGTGAACAGCCTACTTTCCTTTAGTAATACATCTGCAGTGGGCACTTTTATTTTCAATGAGTCAGCCGTCTCATTTGGCTTGCATTGTGAAAGGGAACAGCCACGTACAACCACAATGTAGCACTCCTAAGTAGGTTGCAGAGTCTGAGAATGTAATGAGTAAGCGTGGCTGCTAAATATATATATTACAACCTATACCCAGGAAAAAAAGTTTCTTAAATCCGTAAAGCACATTGATAAGAGTCTTGGCATTCAGCTAATCATCTGTATTTGTACTGGATATCTAAAGAATCCCTGAGAAAAGTATACATTCACTTTAATCAGCCATGCTGAGTTTGCTATTTGTATACTAAGGACAATGGGCTTGAACAAGTGATTTAGCTGCCAGGAACCTGTTGACGTTGGGCTTGAACAAATTAGATCACCTGAGCTGTTTTATTTTCTTCCGATCTACACCTGGGAATAATTTGCTGGTTCTGCTCCGCCGTATTCTCCCAATGTCACATTCACCTGAGTTGGTGCTTGTTTGTGCTCTCTCTTATTCACCTGCTTTGTGCTTTCTTTCAGGAGCAGCTGGAAAATGCCGCCACTGCGTCGGGCAGCGAGATGCCGGAGATGATCCTGCGTGATTGTCAGGGGAAGATAACAGAGGTGGAGCTCTGGCTTCAAAGAGTAAACCTGTCATTAGCAGAGAGGAAACAAGAGCCAGATATGAGACACAGCTTAGAACAGAAGCTTATAGACTTTCAGGTAAGAGCAGTCACCGGTCCCCGGATGACCCCTTCCACTCCATGATCAGTGCACTTGTCTTACTAGATGCAGAGTATACAAATATTTATTTTATTTCAGGTATTTATATAGCGCTGTCAGTTTGTGTAGTCCTTTACATATATATTGTATTCACATCAGTCCCTGCCCTCAAGGAGCTTACAATCTAAGGTTACTAACTCACATTCATACATATACATACTAGGGCCAATTTGGAAAGGAGCCAGTTAACCTACCAGCGTGTCTTTGATATGTGGAAGGAAACCGGAGTACCTGAAGGAAACCCACACACTCACAGGGAGGATGTGCAGACTCCATGCAGTCGATACCATGGTTGGGATTCACAATTCCAAGTGTAATAAATGAAAGGGCTGGTTATAGGTGACACATAAAAGGCAACTAGTCACCCTTGGCATCAGTCTCTCTCCCCCCCATTGCTTATTCTTTTCAGGAGCTATCATAAATCACAGATGCCAAGGGGATGATTTACTAAAACGACTGGAGTGCAAAATATGGTGCAGCTGTGCTTGATGGCCAATCAGCTTCTGACTTTAGCTCGTTCAGTTAGGACCCTTTCACATGGCATTCCGCTTTTGTCATCCATTCAGTCACGACATCCTTTTTTTTTCACCAGTTTACATCCCTTTTTTTCACCAGTTTACATCCCTTTTTTTTCACCAGTTTACATCCCTTTTTTCACCAGTTTACATCCCTTTTTTTCACCAGTTTACATCCCTTTTTTTCACCAGTTTACATCCCTTTTTTTCACCAGTTTACATCCCTTTTTTTCACCAGTTTACATCCCTTTTTTTCACCAGTTTACATCCCTTTTTTTCACCAGTTTACATCCCTTTTTTTCACCAGTTTACATCCCTTTTTTTCACCAGTTTACATCCCTTTTTTTCACCAGTTTACATTCCTTTTTTCATCAGTTTACATCTGTTTTTTACATCCGTGTCTCCATCCGTTTACATACGTATTTGACCTTTTTCATCTGTTTATGTCCGTTTTTGTCCGTTGCAGGTTTTTTTTACGGATGAAAAATAGGGTTTTCTTCCATTCAAAAAAAAAAACGGATGTTAACGGATACGGACATTAACGGATGTAATCAGATCATCCATTTACATCTGCTAGTCCATAGAAATACATGGGTGTCCGGTTTTCATCCGTAAACGGACAGATAAAGAAACGGACACATGGAACTTCCGTGTGAAAGAGGCCTTTAAACTTTGACAAAAAAAAACCTGGAGGCTGGTTTGGTTTCTCTGCAGAGCTGCACCAGATTTTCAACTCTCCAGTCTTCGTAAAACTCCCATGTGTATGCCCAGTGGGCTTAGTCTTATATTGATGGTTCTGAAAGTGTTTAATCTGATGCTTTAATGACCCAGTTGCACAGGTGGGGTAGGGTCTTTGGTGGAAGATTTGAGGTTTGCCAGAATTTTATTTAAAGCTGAGTTCCAGTCAAAGCTAAAAAAAAACAAAACAAAAAATCCAGTGGTGTGCCCACCGCAGCCAGTTTCCTCGACCATTCTCACTCCCCTGGCGCCTGGCATCCTAAGTATGGGCACCTATCTATGACAGCTTGCGGCTTCACAGCCAGGTGCCCACTTCGCTTGCGTGAGTAGATCTGCGCCTTGTGAAGGGAGAGAGGACAACTTCTGCTTCCGATCGCCTAGGTCAGTGGTGGGCAACCTTTTTTTTTCAACTGAGCCAAATCTCGCCAAAACCACGATTGAAATTTATTTTGAGAGCCACATTTTTAAAACTGAAAATACATCTCCCATATAGTAATTCATCCCCCATAGAGTAATTCATCCCCCATATAGTAATTCATCCCCCCATATAGTAATTCATCCCCCATATAGTAATTCATCCCCCATATAGTAATTCATCCCCCATAGTAATTCATCCCCCATATAGTAATTCATCCCCCATATAGTAATTCATCCCCCCCATAGTAATTCATCCCCCCCATAGTAATTCATCCCCCATAGTAATTCATCTCCCATATAGTAAGTCCCCCCCCCATATAGTAAGTCCCCCCCCCATATAGTAAGTCCCCCCCCCATATATAGTAAGTCCCCCCCCCATATATAGTAAGTCCCCCCCCCAATATAGTAAGTCCCCCCCCATATAGTAATTCATCCCCCATATAGTAAGTCCCCCCCTGTGTCAATTCACTTACCTTTGCTCCGCGCGTTCCTCTCGCCTTGCTTTCCCGCGCCGTTCTGGTCTTCAGGGGCGGACTGTGAGAGGAGAGGAGTTCGTCACGCTGCCCCGCCTACATCCTGGCTGCCCCGCCTACATCCTGACAGCTGCAGAGTCCTGACTTTTGGGGCGGGCCCGCCCGAGAGGAGGGAGGGGAGGGGAGGTGAGGGGGCGGCCCGCCCGGCACACGCCTGTCCGAGGGGAGGGAGAGGAGGGAGGGGAGCGGGCGCCCGGCACACAGAAGAGCCGCATTTAAGATTGTAAAGAGCCGCATGTGGCTCGCGAGCCGCGGCTTGCCGACCACTGGCCTAGATGGTTGCAGCGGAAGTGGGAGCGGGTACCTGTCATAATTGGGTACCCACTCCCCAAAGGTGCCAATTCCTCACAGGGAGCGGAGGACCAGTATTTAAAGTGGCACTTCCCCATTTAGGTGGAGCTCTGCTATAACCTCCTGCAGAGTGGCCACTGTACATTTACAGCCAGTCCTCTCCCCTATTGTTCCACGAGGGCATATACCAGGAGGTCTACCGGGAACTGCATTCACACACAGCTTTTATTGGACATCGCAGGTAAGTACCACCACCAAGAAAGCTCTGTCTCAAATAGAACAATATGCAATTCACTTCAGTGTTGCATGAGGGAATAGTTAGTCAAAGTAACACAGCACTGAAAAATGGCCTGCTAATGAAGGGGGGTAAAACATTATGGTACTGAGATGGTTAATTTAACAATCTGTTCCTGATTGTGGTCAGGTTATGAGACAAATGCAGGCCATAGACGGGGAGAAAACCGGCTGGTTTTTTAACAAATAAACCAAAAATCGGTCGTTCAATAGGCCGACATTACCATCAACAGTAAAAAAAAAAAATCGGCCGATTTTCTTCTCGTCTATGGCCAGAATTTAATTACGTCTGTCCCTGCAGAGAGCGCCGCTATTATATTTGACATTAAAAAGTATTGTGGTCGCAACATTGTATCTATTTGTATCCATTTCGGATACAGATGGTTTTTCCTCCCCCCCTCCCTCCTCCCCCCTCCCTCCCTCCTCCCCCCTCCCTCCCTCCTCCCCCCTCCCTCCCTCCTCCCCCCCTCCCTCCCTCCTCCCCCCTCCCCCCCCCCGATCCCTCCTCCCTCCTCCCCCCCCCCCCCCTCCCTCCTCCCCCCCTCCCCCCTCCCTCCTCCCCCCTCCCCCCTCCCCCCTCCCCTCCCCCCTCCTCCCCCCTCCCTCCTCCCTCCTCCCCCCTCCCTCCTCCCCCTCCTCCCCCTCCTCCTCCCTCCCCCTCCTCCCCCCTCCCCCCTCCCCCCCTCCCTCCTCCTCCCCCCTCCCTCCTCCTCCCCCCTCCCTCCTCCTCCCCCCTCCCTCCTCCCTCCTCCTCCCCCCTCCCTCCTCCCTCCTCCCCCTCCCCCTCCCCCCTTCCTGCCTGACAGGGTTGTGTTGTGCCGCAGAGCTGTGTAAATCTCAGGACTGGATAGATAGAAATACAAATCCTATGTCACCTAAAACAGCTCTCATATTGATGAAGAATATGAAGTATTTCATATGCGTATTTGGCTATTTGCCTGCAGTTTATTTTTAAAGACTAATTATGTATTTTTATGATGTATGATCAATTCATAAACATATAATTTATTCTTGGGTTTAACAGTTTAAAATAGGAGGTGAAGGACAGGCTGAGGAGCTATTCAGGCAAATGGAATTTACAAAAAGATGGGAGAGCTCTTTGCTAATTTGCCCCAATCCTACAATACATAGACTATACAAAGAAAAAATGTGGCAGGGGTTCTTTTAGGGGCACATGCACAAAAAATGTGTTTTATACTAGTTCTGTGCTGTTACAAAAAAAAATAATCTTTTTATTACCAATAGATAAAAAAACATACATAGGACCATGTCTGAATGTTACAAAAAACATTTTCACATCCATTATCTTAGAATTTGTGTGGAAAACCCTCAGCACAATGGACCTCCTACCTGTGCAGCTAGCATGTAATGTGTTCCCACATGCAAACCATAAATCAATAAAAAATGCAGCACAGTCCTATAAACTCAAATATGGTGCTAATCATATACAACGTGCATATATGAATAGTGATAACAAAAATTGTGCATGTGACAATAATATGTGCTACCGTTCTAAATAGTGAACTGTCCCTTTAAAACTCTAATATCTTCATGTGTGCTTGTGCGGTATATCTCCTGTGCATCGTGTTCCAAATATACCATCAACAAGTGTCTCATAAATAGTCGCAAAATAATGGTGAACTGTCCCTTTAAATCTGCTGTACTCCAGGTGGATCCGTGTGATCACGCTACTGTATACATATGTACAGTTCTCCTGTCTCTCCGCTCAGTGTTCATCCACCTCCAACAAACTATTGTGCTCACCTCAAAGTTTTGACCTGTAATACCAGGTCAAACTATGCTTTTCCCTTTAACCCGGGAGGGTATACTGGTACAAAGGTCTTCACCACCATCAGCACTTTAAAATCCTCCAGAACACTCCACAATCGTATGAAACAAATGCTCCACATAGTGAAGTACTGCCAAATAAAAAACAACTTTATTAAAATAAAAATCCAATACACTGACAGTTAAGTGTCCACCTGGGACACTGCAGGTTAAAAACTCACCATACAGTGTAACTGTTGAATAAAGTACAGGAATCCCTTATCCAAAATGGCGACGTGCACTTCCGGTTTGCGGCTTGACATCATCGGCGTACCCTACGCGTTACGTCACGTGACACTGACAAACATACTGGCTGGGTTATTCCTTTTTTATCCAAATTGGTAATAGTGCTTGTAACTGTACGACTGTGGTACAGACATTAGATTATAAGCTCCTCTGGAACCGATACTGATAAAGGAGATTGAGTGTAAAAATATGGAAAATAATACTGCAATAAAGTTACCATGATTGATATTTTAGCCAGCTTTTAAGGGTCACACAGCTATGAAGATCTCGGCATCGGTGGGGATATTGTTTACGCATTTTCTTTTCTTTCCCAGAAAACTTTACAAGAAACAGAAAAGAAAATAAACAGTTTGCTGGAAGATGGCGGCATAAATAAGCAAGGGCCCGGTTCATTGTTAGAGGAGGCAGAGTCCTTGTCCAGAAAGCTGAAGACTTTGAAAGTCAGTCTGGAGAACTTACAGGCCGTGTTGCAGATCAAACCCCATGTCGAACAGGTATCATGTGACATTTGTGACTACGTTACTATTTATTACCTTTTACCTAATCGGTTGTGAGTAGTGTTATACAGTATGTTCTACAGAAGATATGTGCTTTTTGAGATCTTTTTTCATCAGATGGAAAATATTTGAGAACTGTATTTGCCAACAATGGCTATTTTGAGAGTCACCTCTCTAAAACATTGTTTAGCCTTCTGTGTCTATTTTAGGACATCACTACTACATGTTTCTGTTGTATACTAGTCTTCTTTCTAACCTTTCTGATCCCTCCAAATAAAGTCATCTTATCCACTTGCTCTCCTGAAGATTTACACCCTCCCCCCCCTTCCTGACCAGGCCATTTTTTGCATTACGGCGCTGCATTATTTTAACAGACAATTGCACAGTCATGCAACACTGCACCTAAATAACCTTTACGTCCTTTTTTTTCCCCCACAAATTGAGCTTTCTTTCAGTGGTATTTGATAGTTTGTGGGTTTTTTATTTTTTGCGCTTTACTTGAAAAGACTGACAATTTTGAGAAAAAATATTTTTTTGACTTTTTTCTATTAAATATGTCCAGTAAAAAAAATTTTAAAAGTCACAGTTCATCCTAAATTTGCACCAAAATATATTCTGCTACATGTCTTTGCTAAAAAAAAAAAAAAAAAAATCCCAATACGTGTAAATTAATTGGTTTAAGTGAAAGTTATAGCGCTTACAAATGGTGGTGTGTGTATATATACACTGGAATTTTTAAAAAATTTGTACTAGTAATGGCGGTGGTCAGTGATTTATAGCATATCTGCGACGGGACATTCTGACACTGGGGGGAACTGACTTGGTGTCACTGACATCCCCAGTGACACCAGTACAGTGATCAGTATTCAACATATAGCACTATCCTTTTACAAATAAAATCCCCACCAAGTTACTAACACAATCCTTCACCTGAAGTACAAATAACATCAAAAAAAATATATATAGTAAACTTGATTACCCTCTAATCAGTATTAGTGTATAAACATAAAGCCCAAAAGAAATAGTAAAACAAAACAAAACAAAAAAAAAAAAAAAAAAAAACAATAACCATCCAAAAGAAAAAACAAAAAGTCCAAAATAAAGTCCCAAATTATTATTTCAAAAAAATCTTTATCTGTGATATCTTAATTCTTCATATCTTCCGAAATCTTTGTGATATACTTCAAACCAAATCTTCATATACCTCAAAGAAAAGAACTCAACATGTGTGATATCTTCAAAGAAAGGGGTATATAAAACGTGCCACACGTGTTTCATGCACATAAAAAATTAACGTGCCACCACAACCGTGAAAGAGGAAATCCCTCAGCCTTAGGAGTCAATCCACTGCATACCACTAGAGGAAGTGCATAGTTACCCTCAGAATGGTATCAAGGGTCTGAGTACTTCTTTCCAACCTTTAAATATTCCTTCAGCCTTTCCAGCCACTTCCCACAGACCTCATAAACAGACCAGGGATCAATATGTATCATAAAACTTATAGCACTTTATTGTAGCAACTTACATTCAAATAAGATGACATCAGCTTCCACATCACAAACGATATGTTCACAATCCTGCCTCTCCTCATAAGTGTATAGATTCCACACTATCTCACTCCCAAGGGGGAACCGATTGCCTGTGGTAAGTCCCCAGTACCTCAAAGCCCCATGAGGATTCCAGGAAGCCACAGCCGCATGTACCAGGATCAAAAAAACGGCCGTCGCCGCACTTCCGGAAGAGCGTCACTACGTCACCACGTCACGTGCCCCGGACGCGTTTCGTCACATCCGGACTTTGTCAACAGGGATCCCTGTTGACAAAGTCCGGATGTGACGAAACGCGTCCGGGGCACGTGACGTGGTGACGTAGTGACGCTCTTCCGGAAGTGCGGCGACGGCCATTTTTGATCCTGGTACATGCGGCTGTGGCTTCCTGGAATCCTCATGGGGCTTTGAGGTACTGGGGACTTGCCACAGGCAATCGGTTCCCCCTTGGGAGTGAGATAGTGTGGAATCTATACACTTATGAGGAGAGGCAGGATTGTGAACATATCGTTTGTGATGTGGAAGCTGATGTCATCTTATTTGAATGTAAGTTGCTACAATAAAGTGCTATAAGTTTTATGATACATACTGATCCCTGGTCTGTTTATGAGGTCTGTGGGAAGTGGCTGGAAAGGCTGAAGGAATATTTAAAGGTTGGAAAGAAGTACTCAGACCCTTGATACCATTCTGAGGGTAACTATGCACTTCCTCTAGTGGTATGCAGTGGATTGACTCCTAAGGCTGAGGGATTTCCTCTTTCACGGTTGTGGTGGCACGTTAATTTTTTATGTGCATGAAACACGTGTGGCACGTTTTATATACCCCTTTCTTTGAAGATATCACACATGTTGAGTTCTTTTCTTTGAGGTATATGAAGATTTGGTTTGAAGTATATCACAAAGATTTCGGAAGATATGAAGAATTAAGATATCACAGATAAAGATTTTTTTGAAATAATAATTTGGGACTTTATTTTGGACTTTTTGTTTTTTCTTTTGGATGGTTGTTTTTTTTTTTTTTTTGTTTTACTATTTTTTGGGCTTTGGACTTTATGTTTATACACTAATACTGATTAGAGGGTAATCAAGTTTACTATATATATTTTTTTTCGATAGTACAGTGATCAGTGCTTAAAAAAAAAAGCTGTACAGGAAGGGGTTAACATGAGGGGCGATCAAAGGGTTAACTGTGTGCAGGGAGTGTTTTACTAGGGGCCGTGTCAGTGTACTTTACTGTAATCACACTGCTCTGGATGGCTGTGCTGTGCACAGCCATCCAGAGCAGTGTGCCCGAGCTGACAGCCTGAGATCTTTGGAAATCACCGGGCGCCGGCGAGTAGTTACCGGCTGGGACCTGGTGATTGACAGCCGCGGTCGCAAAAGGCGGTGCGGGAAGGGCGCACACGCAGCTTGCGTGCGCCCCCTACCCGGAAATACAAAATCACGTGTGTGTGTGTGTGTATATGTATATGTGTATATGTGTGTGTGTGTGTGTGTATGTATATATATATATATATATGTATATGTGATTTTGTTGCACCCGTGCCGCCCTGTAGCAGTATTTCTGCTATAGGGCAAACAGGAAGTGGTTTTCCCCTCTACAAAAGTGATAGTAATCATTTTCCCCTACCTGACATCTTTTAGAGTTATCTGTTGCAGTCCTTGTACAGCAGGGCTGGAATGTGAGCAGAAGAAGCAGTACAAATAGGTGTTCTGTTTATGGGCTTACAAGAAACCTTCTGATAGTAGAGGGGACAGAGAGATGAACTCATCATTGTGCTGCTTTTTCTTTCACTGTCCAGTCACAGGCTGCAAGTGGTAGGGTGCATTCAGGATGACCTGGGCTCAGACCAAATGGGCTGAATGATGCTGGCCATCAGACTTGAGGACATTTAGTGGTAGGGATAAAAAAGCACTGTTGGTGAAATCTCTGGATTGAAGGTGAACCTTGCAGCAAAAGCTGGTTATTTTATTTGATCTTTTAATGGGCTAATTATTTTCATTGTGTTATTTGTGGCTGAAGTTCTGTTTTTTAAGGATGGACTTAAGGATATCAAAATCCTCTGTTGGTGAAATCAGTGTTATAATGTACGTGTAACCACTCTTCTACCAGGGCAAATTTTTAACCTTTAACCTTAAAATCTGCATTTTTTTTAACTAATAAGATTACTTTAAACCTCCAAACAATTATACATTTTCTGAAAGAAGAGACCCTGTAGAAAAAACTGGTAGCAACTGCAATTTTTATGTTGCATAACAACTGTTTATCAAACATACATTTTTTTGGAAAATATACTAAAATGCATTTTAATACACATGCATACAATACAGTATAATACCCATTTTTTGTTTTTTGGTAAAATAAAAAAAGATGGCACTGCACCAAATAAATTGATAGCAACCATGCCAAAAGTTAAAATTGTATGCACCTGTGAAATGGTGAAAACTTACAGTACCTACAATTATTCCTAGGTGACACTTGGAAAAGTCTTTACAAGTTGCCATTTATAATTAAACGTTGATTATGGCCTTACGATTTATACTCTCACTCTGGTGTTCGTGGTGATACCTCCACATAGTTACATAGTTAGTCTGGCTAAAAAAAAGTCCATCCAGTTCAACCAAAAAAAAGTTATAATCCTATACCCCCAGCTGATCCAGAGGAAGGCAAAAAAAAAACCCCCAGCAAAGCATGATCCAATTTGCTCTTGCAGGGGAAACAATTCCTTCCTGATCCCCTGAGAGGCAATTGCATATTCCCTGGATCAACTTTACCTATAAATGTTTAGTAACCACTTATAATTTGTGTATTCAAGAAAGAATCCAGGATTTTTAAAGCAATCCACTGAGCTGACCAGAACCAACTCTTGAGAGCGTCCATTCCACATTTTCACAGCTCTCACTGTGAAGAAACCTTTCTGTGTTTGGAGACTACATTTCTTTTCCTTCAGACGTAAAGAGTTCCCCCTTGTCCTCTGTGATGACCTCAGGGTGAATAACTCTACACCGAGTTCACTATATGAACCACTGATGTATTTATACATGTTGATCATATCCCCCCTTAATCTCCTCTTCTCAAGAGAGAATAAATTCATTTCCTCTAATCTTTCCTCATAGCTGATCTCCTCCATGCCTCTTATCAGTTTGGTTGTCCTTCTCTGTACTTTCTCCAGTTCCCCAATGTTCTTTTTGTGAATTTTGTGAATTGGTGCCCAAAACTAAACTGCATATTCCAGATGAGGTCTTACTAATGATTTGTACCGGGGAAAATGATCTCTCTGGAGTCTATACCTCTTTTAATACAAGAGAGGATTTTGCTCGCTTTATAAACCGCAGCTTAGCATTGCGTGCTATTAAGCT